CCCTAGGCCTTCAGCCCCAGCAGTATTTGAGAGGAACAAAACCCTGGAACACCCCAAGAGAGAAGATGGGCCAGAGGTCCCACTCTTTATTACTGCTGCAAGAGCATCCCCAGAGCTTGACACTAGCCAGGGATCCAGAGGCATCCACCTGATCCCAGCACACTGCTCTATGCTCCTAAAGGACCTTGCTACCCTTCACACTACCACCCACATAAAACTCAAAGTTGCTGTATGTGTAGGGACTGGTCTTTGGGAAGAGAGAGGTGATAAACACTGACTTTCCTGTGTAACAGGGCACCAGAAAGTGTCTGTTCATCCTGTCTGCCTCTGCAAAGCCTGTACAACACAACCCATCAGACCCACAAAAGCTCTGCAGCTGCATCAGCTCACACCAGCCAGAGATCTTTTCTTAACCATTAGATCAGCTCATTCTTCCCCACTTCTAGAGGCAAACAGCCTGAAAAAGCAGGCAAGAGAGACTTTTTTTTTAGTGCAGCTTCCACTCCTGAGCAAGCAGTGTTCAATGACTTGAGGAGGAAAGAAAGCTTACTCCAGCTTCTCCTCCCCCTTCCCCATGAAGGAGGGAACACATTGCCACACAGACCTGCCAGGGCTGTCCCCCAGGCACCGACTCTCTTCCTCCAACAATCCGAGAGAAGAACCCCAGTGGCAGAACATCCTCTGGACTCTCCAGATCAGTGGGACGAAGTCCACATTTCAGACCTGCAGTGAGGACAGAAACAAGAGTGCTTTGCAGTGAGGCAGCCCCCACAAGCTCAATTGCATCACCTCAAATGCTTCTGGCAGGTGGGGAATTAATGGGACAAATGCCAGGTGTCACGGTTTTTCTGACTCCAGCCTGTGCTTCAAGCTGAAGGCAATTTTATGGAGGTAAATGGAAAGACACAACCTGCATTTCTTGATGAGAAGCTGATGTGTGCAAAGCTCAGGTATTCTGTGAGGTGCTTTCACAATGTGTGTGCACAGTCATAAAAAAGCAAATTTAGATTTCATCCAGTAGTCTAGTTATGCTTAACAAAATGCAATTGGGACTTAAAAAAAAAAAAAGTAACAAGTGCAACAGATTATAATGATGCTGCCTGAGTTTATTCAAAGCTGATTATTTCAAAGCTTCCATATCTAAGCAGTGCCCCGCAGCGCTTAACCAGAGCAACTAAAGTCATCATGAAAGATCTCATCTCTGAATCGAGCTGGCCCAGCGCTCAGTCTTGGCTTCTGCCCGAAACACATTGCAAGGAGACAAAGCTTTCTCATGTTGCTTTTGGCACCAATTGCGCCTTAGAAATGTGGACAAGGAGCCCAGGGAAAGTTTGACTTAGAGCTGAGGCCAGCCAGGGATGGCTGGGTCTGATTAAGTTTTAGATGCTTCATTGAGCTGTGCAGTTGGAGATAGATGTGTGGCAATCCCTTATGGTTCCTGGGAAGGAAGCATAAAGGGAAAAAAAACAGCACTCCTCACCCAGCTGGGTGTAATGTACATGCTGCCCAGCCCACCGGCTGGGTGGAGGAGGTTGGGGAGCACTCCTCCCATGCAGAACATGGTCATCACAGCACAGGTCACACCTGAGGGGCCACCACAGAGCACTTGGGGCACAAAGAGAAGGAACTGACTGTAAATGTTTGTACCTGAGGTCTGCTGCTGCAGGCTGGGTGGTTTTGGAAGAGGGATAGCTTCAGGCTTCTGGCTCCTTCGCTGAGGAGGGGATGGCAGCTCTTCCTCCACACCCTTCACCTGGCCTGTGTCTGCACCAGCCAAAAATCATGCTATTGACCTCTCCTGTCCCATGTGTTTCTTGTGGTAACAAGCCAATAGGAGGGGTCCCCTGCCCCTCCCAGGCCAGGATATAAGTTCCTTTCTCAGCCATTCAAACATAAACAACACAGTGCTCATAGTTTGGGAGGTATTTGCACCATGTTTGCCCTGGCAAGAGCCTGGAGTAACTCCCTGGAGTCACCAGCAGACTGGGCCTAGATCCAGAATGCTACTACCCACCACAGCACCACCCCTCCAGCCCTCCCTTTCGCTTTGACCACGTGTAGTCTTGAAGGCTCCTTGCTTAACCTTCCCACCACAGGCACTAGAGAGCCCCCCAAGCTCTCACACCACCCTGTAAGAGTGACAGTGAACTAAGGGGCCCATGTCTTTTTCCTCTGCCCACATGGCCACCTCAGCAGCACTGTGAGGCTGTGGAGATCCTCACACAGCTCTTGCTGTATCACGGCTCTGCAGGGCTTGGAGCTCCTTGCTGCTGCATGCCGCCCAGCCTCTCTCCCCCTGCCTTTTTATACAACATTTTACCGTATTCCCATGTCACTTCCCAGCCTCCACAGTTGGCCTCAGAGCATTTATTACCAGAGAAAGCTCAGTCACAAAATCAGATACAATTTTCTAAGCCATTGACCTGGACCAAGCTCTCCCTAGCCCCTGCTGCTGACTGGCTTTCCCAACAAGAGACTGTGGTGATTATTGCTATAGCAGCAAGACTACTGCTGAAGTAGAAAATAATAGACTTTATCAGGGAGGTAAATGATGGAGAAAACACTGTTCTCTTGGATCGGGGTGGGGGGGAAATAAACAACATTAGCAACAGAAGGACCAGCATCATACTGGACCAGGATGGGAGGAACAGCAGTTAGCTCATTTTCCTATTCCTGCTCCAGCTGGGCAGATCTTTTCAGCAATAGCTTCATTACCAGGAGCAAGTTACTTGAAGATCACCATTTTTCTGCCCAACATGACCCCCTTCGCAGCCTGCCCTGTGCTTATTTTCCCCCTCTTACCTAAAAGCATTCCTGAAATAGTTTTTATAAGTGGGAGCAGACAAGGAGATATAGATATCCATGAGGACAGCTAAGAAGGGTTTGAGAACATGCTGCTGTTTAGTGCTCTCCCAGACACTTCTCCAACCAGACTGCCCCAGGGCCACCAGTTAGCCACAGCAGTTAACCACCCCCTAGATGTAGAGGGTCAGAAAGCCTTCCAGTCCCAGCGGTCCAGGGGTGAGCACACCAAGCCCCAGGGATGGCTTATGAAAACTAACTGGGTACATTCACTTTTTTTGATACAGAAGCACATCACGCCAGGGCTCACTGCTCTAGCCCCACGCTGTGGCAGACCCCCAGAAACCCCTGTCCCCCAGCCCACTCACGGGACTCACCACACTGAGCAAGACACACCAACAGCAGCAAAAGGAGCCCTGTTGCCACCATGGCCCAGGGAAGTGTCTGATGCCCAGGCCTTGAGCCCAGGCTGTGCTCTACCACACACACCAGACAACCAGCTCTTCCCCTCCCCAAATTAACAAGCCCCTTTAATAGCTGAGGGGGCCAATCAGTTTTGGCAGGTGAGGCTGCAATCCAGGTGGGTTTGGAGGCTCTCCAGCTATGTCTCACTGGAGATCACCAGCTCCCTGGGCTCTCCTGTTTGTGGTGGGCCACCAGGGACAGTGTCAGGGCCCAACATCTCCCTCACCATCATCACGGGCCCTGGAGTTGCCTCAGCCCTTGCAGTTTGAAGCAAGTTTCTCTTGGTTTTGCAGGGGACAGCTGGTGCAGACAGGAGTGATGCAGCCAGGATCCTCACCCCATGGGCTCCCTGCCTCCTTGCCCAGGCTGGACAGGAGCTGTGGGACTGAGAAGAGCAGTGTGGGGTGTCAGGAGACGTGGGGCTGATGGCTGTGTTTGTAAGGCGTGGAGGTATGTTTGCATCTCCTAACCCAGAGGGCATCAAGAGAGCTGTCTGAAACATCCAGCAGCTTCTTGTCTTTGGGGCTTACAGGGAGGCTTCAGGCAGCTGCCCTGAGTATGAAACCTGATCTTTTTTACAGGGAGGACCGCTATCGACATGCTGTTAGAGCAAACAGGGCACAGAGCTGCCTTTTATTCTTGGGCCAGGAACTGCAGAGCCCCAGGGTGCTGCAGTGCCTCCAGGCACGCAGGGCCCCAGGGTCACCCACAGCAGTATTTTTGGCAGTATCTTAGGTGTCTCCAGCCCATCACAGGAGCTGCTGAACAGTCTGGGGGCTGCACGGCCCTGCCTGCCCCCCTGCAGGCCAGCGGGCAGCTGGAGCCTCCCTTCCTCGGGTAATAAAAGTGATGGCCAACTATTTCTGCAAGCAGCAGAGGGAGATGTTACCACCGTGCTGTATTCCTTGTTCTTTTGGAGAGAGACAATCCACACGCTTCTCCACAGGGGAGGATCAGGGCTATGAGCTGGCGGTACATCTCATTTCTGCAGCGTAACGAGCATCCACCTGAACAAAGGAGAACCTGGGCAGCGGGGCACTGGGTAGCAAGCTCCGTTATAAAATCCTGCACTGCCTGGATGTGGGAGAACCCCGGGGCGTACTGGCTGTCTTCAAAGTGAGTGTGCAATTCCCCTTCATACTACAGAGGGCTTTGCACACACCAGGATGTCAGGAAACACTATGCCTTGTGGTCAGGGCTTTCAATTTTCTTCCTGGTCCATTTCCGACAGATGTGTTCATCACCATCATGTATCCCCTGAGAGAACCCAAGCCCCAGGGAAGCATGCAGGAGCACCTGGGGACATCTGCCAGGAAGCAGGGAATTAGAACAAAATGAGTTTCTTCATCCTTTCTGTTCTTTTTTTCTCTTTACAGTCTACAGGCTTAACTTTGTTCGATACATTTCCGACAGATGTATAAAGCCCAACACGGGCAGCATAACAAGTCCAAATCATCAAGACAATGTGCAAGCATCAGCCCTCATCTTTTCCCATGTTCAGGCTCCAAAAAAATGCTTACTCTAATAATTTTATATGGCCAGACTCAAATACATGTGCTGTATAGTTGCTCCTATGTGAGCAATCAGCTGGACTCCTTGAGGAGTAAAATGTAAGGCAACAGGAATAAGAGTAAGAAACTTGGGCCTTTCCGCCTCCAGAGGAACTTATTCATGGCTGGTCCTAAGGAACAGACTGACCTCACAGCCAACAGAATAAAACCAGACACGCCACATACTTTTCTTACTTTTTATATAAAATAGACATTTACATACATTTTCTTTCGCAAAGACTTCAAGCATAACTCCTTTATGTGAAATCTAGCCATAAATCCCACAGTGAAAAAAGCAAAGACTTTGCAAATTCCTGTACCACTGACACACATCCAGCTGCTGCTAAGTGTGAATTTATTTTTAAAAGATTTGTAATCCATGGGCTGTTTTCTTAATTTTTAAAAAGATATGCACAACTGATTTAAAAAATTAGATACAGAAATAAGAACCATATGAACAACAGCCAATGCAAACAACTCCCACATGATAGGAACACGCGGCGTGACATCCACTTCAGGCAGAGATTTCTACAGTAATACAGTTGTGGAAGCCGTAACTTTTACAGAGGATACCACAGGGGGTATTTTCCAGAAGAAAAATTTCAGCAAGTCAGTACAAACATGGCAATGAGCTTTTGCACAAAGTTATTGAGATTATCTGAAGCAACTTTGCCACACTGAAACACTAGTGAATGCCAAGCACATTTGCCTTTTTTTCTTTTTTTTTTCCCTTTTTTGTTTTTTTATTTTTATTTTTTTTATATGTATATATATAGTTTTGCTGCTGCTGGGTTTAAGCGTACATGAAAACAAAAATGGTGCATTTTGAAATTGCTGCATGAAACTGAAAGTTGGTGGAGAAAAAAAACTTGTAAGAGCTATTTTTTTCCCAAAGATTGTACATAATTTCAATATATGAAAAATTGAAATTGAGCACTTGGTCAATTTAATGCACATACAGTTTTAGGAGACTTAAGCACATACGAATTGTTTCACTGGTCTGGAGGACAGATGGGGCAAAAAATCATATATTCTCAATGGCCTAATCATTAAAATTGGAATGACAATTACCTTCCTTAACCAGATATTGTATACCATCTTTGCCCTGGTTTCCATAACTTTTGAGAGCTTGAGATGTGTTTTTAAACAGTTTAAATGGTGTCCAGTCTCCCCTGCAAGTTAGGCTCTTTATTTTGCATTTTTTGTCTTAAGATTTCTTACACCCACGTGCATGCTCACACACCCCGTCCTCGCTGAGACCTCTGGAGTGAAGGTCATTTCCACTGCTGCATTCACTTACTGTTTGGCCAAGACGAGTTGCCTGTACATTTTTAGGAAAATCTAGTCCAAGCAGTCTATGACAGATAGAAAATACACCCAACCCCACCCCGCATCATTTATCCTGAGGGATGGAAAAGGAATGGAAGAAAAGAATGCTGGACCTTCAATAAGCAATAAAATCAAACAAAATCCATCAGCTGAAAATGTTATTCATGGGGAAAGGAAAAAGCAACACAATTACTATGTTTTTCATTTAGGATTAAAATGCACAGTGAGTACACAGGAGCCCTGTCTAACCAATTCTGAGTTAATTCTCCACTTTAATATTGGTGAGCATTGAAGTTTAGCCAATGCAACTTACGCAAAGAATGAACTCTCCTCCACTATGTAGAGCTTCAGCCATTTATTAATTTGTAATCTTTGCTAACCATGCAGTGCAGTTGGCAGAAAACAATGTATTTATAATTGATTATTTTATGAGCCACGCAATGCTAGAGGAAGAGGATATTCCCTATGATTAATTTGGATAATATCCAGTTTATCACAAGGTAAGTTGCTCTATTTATCTTTCACAATAGCATTCCCTTTTGGTGGAGGTAACCCATTTCATGTTACATTCCATTGCTCTGCTTTACCTACAATAAATCTTTCACAAGATTAATGTCCTGAACAAACACAGCATTTTAGCACAGAAACCAATGAGACAGGGAGTCAGATCAAAACTTCACAAAGGTTTAACTGCTTTGGTAGCTCATGGCCTGCATCATTCTCCAAATACTCTGCCAACTTACAGACCATCATCCTGCATAGATGGGGTATAAAGTGCTGGTTCAGGAACACAAGGTTCATTAATGAGTGCTCCTCTCTGCATAACTACCATAAACCCAGCTCAGAAATGTGGAGAGTCAGCCTTTCATCATATAAACATAACCCAGTTCAGCTGGGATTATCCTACGTGGATACGTTACCAGCCTATTTCAGGAGAGTGGATGAATATATGACATGTCTTCCAACCAAACTGCGTCCCTCACTGGAATGTTGGTATCATCTTTCTACATCATTCTGCAAGTAAGACAGCATTACAAAAACGGTAATCCTTTCCCAGGATCTGGGAGGGGGCACCCAAAGCTTGATCATACACATGTGCCAGGTTTCGGAGGCCAAGACGGTTTTGATTGGATTCTAGGACAAGAATGAGACCATCATTTGTACCAGGTCTCTCGGGAAAGACAAACGAAGCTTTAAGCCAAAGTTAAAAACACAAAACCAAGTCACCCCCCTCACAAAGCATTGATATAAAAAATACAACTTCTTTTATAGTTGAAAAAATATGTGTCATCGGCCACAATTTCAAGCCACACTGCCGTGTGGCTTGTAGAATATATAGTATTTATTTAATATATCTTTATGAGACGAACTTTATAGCTGATATACTTTTTAAATGAGACGTTATCTCCCCTAACCACACAGCATCCCACAGGGACCCCATCTCCTCCTGGCCAGTCTGGCAGTGTCTGGGCTGTGCAAAGCTGCTCCGTGCAAGGTGCCCCGTGGAGCACATGCACTGGGAACCTGCAGAAATGTTGGGTCAGTAAGCCTATGGCTTTAAAAGTTGTGCAACAGGACAAGAGCTGCTGATCCAGCCCCAAGCCCTCAAACCTACCCTCAGCCTCCAAAAGGAAAGTAGGCAGCTGAACAGAGAAGGGAAAATCCACCAGGAAAAGAACTGCCTGGGACCCAGCTGCTCCCTTGGCATTAACGAAGCTGGTTTGAAGGGAAGAGCCCAGAAATTTGTCAGCACCTTCCCCCACCGAAGGTCTCTCCCTCCCACAAACCTGAGAAGCCAGCCTCTGCCCAGCTGCAGACACTGGCTGATCTCTTGGGCCTTGGCCTTATGTGGCTGGAGGGACTGGTACCCCACAAGTCCAGCCTCCCCATGGCTCCAGCTGGCACTCAGACTCTGGCTGAGCAGATGCCTTTGCCAGTCTGGCCTCCCTCTCAGCACCAAACACAGCTGCTGTATGTCAAAAATTTGACCAACAGCAGCAGCAAGACACCAGGCTTTTTAAATGAAGCAGCCATTTGCTTTAGAAATAGCATTGGGGGAACCTTCGTGCTGCTGCACTCTTCTTACTTCAAAAATGCAAGTCCCAGTGGCCAGCCATGTGGCCAGCTGCGAATGACACTGCCCAATTTGTATAAACCAGAGACAATATATTAATTATTTGACTATAAGTTAAATAAATAAAGCTCAAAAATAAAAGCCCCAATTCTGCAGAGAACTTGTTTTCCCACTTTGGTTTTTAAAAAAATACAGATTTATGACTGATCAGCTAGAGCTCATTTTCTGTATCTTTTGTGGGAGGGGGTGAGAACACTTTGACAAAGTGTTTTGTCAGTGTTATCACCATAATGAGTGGGCTTGGTCCCTGCACACCCATAAAAAAACCTCCTTAGTACCTTCCCAGCCTACCAAATCATCCCTAATCTCTCTGTAGCTTTAAATTACCTCCTACACCAATCAGATTAGATGGTTTTTGTCTTGTTTTGTTTTTACTGGAGACTGGACAGGAAGACAAGTAATCCTAGAGTTTCCCACTGCCTTTAGATACTTCCATTTTTTTCAGAGTAATAATTATTTGGCCTGCAGGGAGAGAGAAAAGGGTAAAGCTATATGATTTTTGACAATATTCATATCATGAACCGGAATTATTACAAAATGACTATCTTATGAGTAAAACATTCAGCTGAGGTTTTCGCTCAAAGGATCTTTTGTCCTACTTGTACAATTATCCTGTTAGGGTGATATTCAGATACTATTTTCCCTTTCTTTAGAATCATTTTCAAATCACATTTAGAGCTGTATGAATGGCCACCTTTTCCTCACCATCAACCCCTTAAAACCTTTTTATGTGACCATTAGGACAATCTTTCCTGGCTCAGATGGATCTGGCAACACTTGCAATGAAGCCCATCAGTGGTACTTTCTGTGGACAAGGTGAGACTGTTTGAGTAACAGGAGACGCTACTTCACCCCGCTGCAATGAATGAGTGCTTTGTCTCCATGGTTTCCCCAGTGATAACCGTGATATTGGAGTTTTATGTCCCACCCACACTCCTGGTGTGATTAAAATGGGTTCAGCCTAAACATAAATCTTGAATAACGGAAGGTTTTCATTTGTTCTCCAGCACGTCCCACAGGAACTGAGTGCCTCCTGTAACTTTGGTCAAACAAGCATGCATTCACAATTTGCCTTCCATAATTCTGAGTCCTGTCAAAGTTCCTTCAGCATCACTTCAAGCAATAGGCTTCCACCGCATTCTTCTCCAAGGAGCACGAGTTTCCTTCCACTGGTGTGACTGAATGCTATGTCTGATCTTTCTCCTGGACTTCCTGAAACCGTTTTTCTAAGCGATCCAATTTGGCCAGATTCTCCTTCAGCAACTTGCTGTTTGGAACCAGCTGCAAAGCTGTCTCATAGTAGGCACGGGCAGTGATGTAGTTTCCCTACAAAGAAAATGAGTGAGAGATCTCATTTTACATTCCCTGACATCAAAAGTTCATTGCTTGGCAGTGGTGAAGACCATACTATGAAGGGAAAAATGTCTATAAAACTTGACATTATTAAATAATGAGAATACTTCTTTATTATGAAATGGGTCACCAAGTACTGCTAGCGTAAACTCGAACCAACACATATGGCACAAAGTAGATTTACATTTTTCTATTATGTTGTATCAGAAGAGTTAATTTTACTCAGAAACAGGATACCTTGAGGAAGTCACACAATGTGACTCCTTAGGACCCAAATCATTATGATATCCTAAAGTATTCAAAAAGGTAAGAAGCCACAGGGCTACCCATCTATTTCCATAATTTTATGCCAGCATTCTGCATTAGACATCTTTATTAAATTTATTAGGTAGAAAGGAGTTTTAAAGGTTGACTCACAGTGACAGTTTTTTAAGGCAGGTCAACAATTCATGTAGGAAAACTTTAGAGATGGGCAGGTTGTTCCTTGTAGCCTGCCCTCTTAAAAATATGGGATTTACATTACATATTCCCAAGCAACCTGGATGGAAAAATTTATCTGGAGTGGAATAGACTTTCCTCCTTTTTGAATAAAATATGCTGAGGACTCTTACTGGTCATAAACCTGACCAGAGCTGCAGTCTTGGCAGTCTGAAGCAAGTTTAGCTTGCTGTCCTAAGTAGCAGTCTCGGTAGCTGACAGCTTAAGGAAACACAACGTTGTCATACCTTGATGTGCTCAATGCCTCCCATATTCATCCAGGCCTGCGCTTGGTCTGGGTTGAGCTCCACAGCCCGTTTATAGCTCTACATAAATAAAAAATATTTTGAGGTTAAGAGTCTCGGTCTACAAACAAAACCAGTTTCTAAAACCAGAAACTAACTTTCCTCTCCCTCTAAATCCCTTTAAAATATCATTTCAAATTCTTCTCATACACAGCGCACACGCTAAGTTGCAGTGTCTTTGCAGTAGAGGTGACAGAACTTACTGCTCCACTGTGGAGCTCATCTCATGGGTTCTCCCTGCCCACAGAGCTGCATGAGGAGCCACACCAACCACTGTGACCCTATCCTTGCTGCCCTGCACCACTGGGGTCTGCTGCTCATCCAGGTCATTTCCCTGGGCAGGTGTCTGCCACCACAAGCCATGTCTGGGCTGTGGTGCTCCTTATCCTCGAGGCTTTAATTTGGAGTAATAGAGATCTCTAGGGATATTGAGAATAGTCAGGTCTGTCCCAATAACATAATTTTCTGTGCTATTATTAAGTGCTAACATAATTTCTGAGCTGTCAAGCCTCTTGCTCCACAGGATAAGCCCATGTGCCAGCTCTTAGTTAATAAGGTGAGATATAATGACATGGTGTGTGCTTTCAGCTGAGCCGTCCTGGAGTTGGCCATTGCCAGTGAGAGGGGCTGAGGCAGGATGGACCAAGGGTCTGGTCAGTGCAACAAGACCTAGGCTCTTCCATAGTCCAACCATGACCCCATAGTTAACCTCTCAGAGCAGGGAGCTCTATTTCCACACTTGAGTAAAAAAGGGCTATTTGTGAAAGGTAGAAAGCAGTCCTCTACTGAGGAAAAAAAAATGCAACTAATTCTGGCAAAGTTGGTTGCTCCATAGCTTTAGCTGTATCATTGATGAACTGATGAGCTCCCAAAGCCAACAGGCAGGGTGTGCACACCATGGACTATTAGATGCATTGAGTTAATTTTATCTTTTAACCTCTAAAACTATCCATAGGGCTCAAAGCAGTCATACCTCAAAAGCCTCATCAAGGCGATTCTGTTCTCTTAGCTGGTTTCCTTTAGTGAAGAAGAGCTCTGATAAGATTTTTGGATCCTTTGGTTTTAGCTGAAGAGCTTTATCTATAGCTTCAAGTGCCTGTGAAAAAGCAAGAGGTCATTGTATCACTGTATTCTGCACCTTTCCCCTTCTCAGGTCTCTCCACCACTAAGACCTCCAAATCTAGGACCCCGAAGAGCAACACATCATCATCCTCCTTCCCTTACTTGCCCCACAGTTACCACATGTGGAAATGGGTGTTTCAGATGCCTGTGGCTGATGGGCAGTGGGGCTGACAGCAGCATGAGCAGTAAGAGCTCACAGCCTCTGAAAACTACAGTGCTTGGCTTTAGTACCATTACTTAGATAAACAGAAGGTTTTTGTGGGGAAAAAAAAATCTCCTGGGTGTGTGCTAAGACACATGACACCTCTGGAGAGATGGAAGGTAAAATGCTACCTGAGCTCTGGATGTGAGCCCTCTGGACGAGGACGCCCCGCGACCACAGTACCTTAGCATAGTGCTCCTGCTTGCTGAAGATGGCTGACAGAAGGCGGTAGCACTCCAGACACTGCACATCTTCGCTGAGTATATGGTTTGTCATCTTTTCAGCCTCCTTCGTGCGCCCCATCATTGCTAAAACCTGGGCCTATGGAGTCATGTTATAAAGGTTATGATTTTAAAAAGCTCAGCCCTCTGATATACAGTGCTGGTGACAGGCTCCTGCTCTCTGACAAGGCAGGGGCTGCTGGTAAGAGCCAGCTGCTCAGACACAGGGTGTGAGGTTGGAGGGAGTGAAGGGGAAACAAGAAGGGTGGGAAAGACAGTCACCGGGTGGCTGGGGTGGAGGGAGAGCCAAGCTCTGAGCCTTGGAAGTGTTCACACTCACGTGGCCACCCTGCTCCATGGGTGGCCCTGGCTTGGATGTGCTCATCCCACACTCACCAGAGCCAGTCGGATCTCTTTGTTTGAAGGCTGCAGTGATGCTGCCTCTCTGTAAACCTGCAGAGCTTCTTCGTATCGCCCCGTGTTATAGTACAGAGCCCCCAGCGGGGACAGGATTTCAGCTTTCCGGGATACCTTCAGTGCCCTGAAATTTGGGAAGAAGAGAGATTTCCAGGTGATGTGGGAATCAGAGCATATGAGCAAGGTGTGGCTTGCACTGGGATGGAGTGTTACCGGTGCAGCACTCACACAGCAGCTTTCAGCACAGTGGGAGTAGCACTACAAAGCTGAAAACCTTTTGATGTTGTTGTCAGAGCATCCCCCATCCAAAAGCAGCAGCGTGCCCTGCCTGGGGGCTTGGGAATGGTCCAGAGAAGTCAACACCGCCTGAGTCAGTGCTTTCTTTCCAAGCACTCCCCAAAAAATAGCCAAATAAGCAGAAGTAAATCTGATTTCAAATGGATGGAGAAGGTGGGTGGGAAAACCCAAGCATGAAGCGGCGATAGATTTGGGTATCGCAGGCACTTTAGCACAGATGTGTGCAGGGACAAGGGAAATCTCTGCCTCCCACCTCAAATTCTTACCTCTTGTACCATGCTTCAGCCTCTTTGTTCTGCCCCAAGGAGCGGTGAAGCCTGCCCAGGTTTACCATGGCGACGTGGTGAGCTGGGCTCAGACGGATGGCCTGCCTGTAGTGGGACACAGCTCTCTCTGGAGCCCCTGGAGGACAAAAAGGCTGTTAAACCGGTGCCTCAGAAAAATCCTGTGGCAAATTCAGCATGAAGCAATGCTCTGGGTTTTCTATGAGCTCTTATCGGGAACCATTTTGAGAAAGAAATTTGGGAAGAAGAGGTGTTTCCAGGTGATGTCTGAGTCAAGGCAGATGAGCAAGGTGTGGCATGGAGCAGAGAAGCTCTGCACTGTGCATGTCACACTCACCCCACCGCAGTTTTATGGTCCTGGGGAAGGATGAGCGTGCCCCCAGCAGCAACCCCTCTGTCCACCTGCGAGGGAGAGGACCACCCCAAAGTGCATGTCAGCACGCAGCAGGGCTTGGGATGGCTGACGGGCAGAGGCAGGGGAGTGTGAGCACAGATCGGGATGCCAAAAAGGAGGCTGGGGTGTGCAGGAATTATAGCTCTCACTGGTACAGCACTCACACAGCAGCTTTGAGCACAGCAGGAATAGCACTAAAAACCTGCTCGAGCCACTGAAGAACCTCTGATGCTGTTGTCAGAGCTCAGCCTTTCTAGAGATTAAGTGTAAGGAAAACTGCTGACGGGCTCCAATATTTGGAGAGAATCCTGAGAAACAGACTTTGCAGGGGTAGGTTTTAGCAAGTTGAGTACATTCAGCAAAAAAAAGGCTCCTGACTGAAAGCACCCCTCTATCGTGGTGCAGGGGGGATGTAACAATCCCTGTGCAGGCTGGGGTCATGGCCCACCTCCCAGGAGAGCATCCTTCTACCCTGGCCCACAACCCCACGAGAACTGCAAATAGCTTCAGGCACTTCAAAACAGAGAACACTCCCTGTACCTCTGCTGCTGGCCCTGCTCAGTCTGCGTGCACTGCACCAGTATCAGTTAATTCCCACCTTGGCGCGGTAAATCCAACACCACAGTGCCTGGATGCCCATCCTGGAGCACGTAGGCACCGTCTCCGTGTTTCAGAGGAGCCATTGGGTGGCACTGCTTCCCTGTGAGAAACCCTCTGCCTGGGTAAGGTGCTGCGGACCATGACATCACCAAACACCACAACACGAGACTGTGCAAATGCCTGGGAAAGCCCATCAGAACTCGCCAGCGCCTCGTATTTTTAGGAAATGCCAATGTTCAATCTGAATGGAAGAAAGGTGCCAGACCATTCATCCACCACCTTAAGTTCTAGTTCTAGCAGTATATTTTTCTTTACCTAAATAATGCCTTTCCTCAAGAGGGATCTTGCAGTGCTTTCCTCAGGCAGAGCCTGCTTACTACTAAATAAATTAATGGGGCATGGTTAAAAATCTCAACATTTCTGTAATGCAAATATTATAATTTTAGCTACAGCGCTGGTTTAATTAGTTTGTACACTCTGTTTGCTGTTACTGCTGAGCAGATGGAAGTTTGGGAAAATCACAAGCAGAAAACATGCCGAAACAAGCAGCTGGGCAAGCACCTAAGTCCTTAAGATCAGCCAGTGCCACCCCTGTTCAACACGCAGGGGTAATACACGTCACTAAGGGAGACACACTGAGTGTCTGTATTCACTGCCGAGTTACCTAGAGATCCAGCTCTCCAGAGATGACACTTACTGGAGGCTCTTGCACAAAATCCTGCGAGTTATTTGGAGTGGTGCTTCACGGTGATCCCCCTGTGCCCACCGGGGAAGAAGGCAGCCTGTGACAGACTCACTGCAAGCCAGTTCCTTCGTGTTGTGTCGTGTCATGTCTCCAAGATTTACATCAGGCCTTTAGTTTTGAAATTCAGTGTGGTGAGCTTTTTTTTTTTATTATTATTGTTTGTGTGTAGGAGAGTGTAGTAACAAACAGGAAAAGTTAGGTTGGACTTTGGCAGGACACACAAGTGCAAAAAAGAAAGCACAATGCACCGCATTTGAACCTAAAATTTTGGTAGGAATAGAGTAGTTTATCTGGGTCAGGAAGCAGAGAGAAGTACAACACCAGAGTGAAATTACCGAGGAGTTTTTATTATTTGCACGTTTGAATTTTGCCAGGGCACAAACCCAGAATCTCAATTTCTGCTGTTAATACCACAACTTTTTTGAGTACAAATATTCATTTTGGCTTTCTGGTTATTTCACATTGGTAGTCCAGAGGAGTGGTGTCTGAGTGGCAGCTCAGAGTGAGGACAGCCAGCTGCACACCGCCAGACACCGCCTTTTGCCATCATCCTTGCTTCCCAAGCACCACTGGCGCCGGGCACAGTGTGAAAGGGGCAGAAAGGGCAGCAGCTACACACTTTAAGCCTATGATACTTTGTCATTGAGTCACAGCTCTGTTCTGGAGAGACTTCAGAGAGCAGCTTGCTTTCCACTAGCTGTTTGTCAGTTCAGACTGGGACTTGCTTATAAAGCTGTCAGTAAAAGGTGGCAACTGCAGAGGCACTTTTTTTTCTGTTATATGGATGCCAGGAAGTGCCTGAGTCCACGGAAGTTGGATGGGAACCAGGAGCCCAGAAAAGAAAGGCTTTGTTTGTCATTATGGAGCTCCCGAGAAATCAATTCACCCCATAGTATCTTAGGTTTTGTTTTCACAGATGATTGCGATTTAAAAGCCATGTTTATTTTTATAGTAGTGGCACTCAACCTTTAGTCAAAGAGCTGCTTTGTCACCAAAGAGCTGCAAATGCTCCAAAGACCATAACGATCCATTTGTGTGCCTGGGGTTGTACTTGATGCTGCCGTGCCTTCCTGGAGAAACAGTAGGATTGTCAGGGTGCTGCCCAGCTCAAATTGAAGAGGACAACTGCCTGTGTGAATATGGTGAGAAACGCTGTAGGAAATATCCAGGCTGAATGCCACTGCTGCACACTAACCGCAGTGACTACAAATTTCAGCACGCTCTGCCATCCCAGCAGAGCAGGGATATTTATTTCCCAGCTACAGGGGAGGCACTTCTACCGCTCTGGAAGCTTTTGACACTCTTTTAGAAGTGTACTGCTGAATAAAACAAGCCAAAGCAAATAAGCCCAAGAGAGAAAATCCCCTGTCCCACAGTCACTTACCGGTATCAACCAAGAAAACCCCGTAGTTGTTATGCAGATCGGAGCTCTCGGGACAATTCTCTATGCCAGCCTTGTAGACCTCCTCTGCTTCCTTCAGCCGTTCCTTAAAACAGAAGGAGATGTCTTAGCCGTGGCAGAAACGGTATCAGCACCGTTTGCTGGGTGCCTGCATTTTGTGGCAAGGCTCACTTTGGCACTGCTGGTGCCCTTCCTCCCTCGCCACATGGGGAGCTCAGGCCCCAGCTCGCCCCACCAAGCCTGGCCGTGGCCACTGGCTTCTTGGAAGCCAAAATTTTACCCCGTGGCATGGATGCGGTATATCTTGCTGTCTGGTATCCGCAGCAATGCAGACAGCTCTCCCCCCCTACACTCGCAATTGGAAGTACCTGTGAAATACAAATATCAGCTGGGAAAGGTTGGGCGGTTTGTGTGCAGTGTCAGTGAGCTTCAGCTAGCACGCACCCAGCTGGGAAATGCACAGCGACAGGGGTCATGTTGGTTCTGCTAAGAATCTGTCATTTGGGAGCTGATATATTTTAATTTATTTGTTTAATGAGCATCTCGCTGGCTAACTTTCCCCCTCAGGAGCTCCGCTCTCCGTTCCCTGAGCAGCACGGAAAACACAAGGAATGAAAGCTCGGTGTGTGTGACAGCTGAGGGATGAGGAGCTTGCACAGGGCAATGAGGGAAACAGGAGGAGGACTGAGGGTGATGAAAGAGTGGGGAAAACCTGACAGTTTCAGATGAAAAACAGGTGTTGTCAATGTGTGAGATGGAGCTCACTGGGACCGATAGGACATGCCACTGCTCTGATTCTCAGATGCACCGAGCCCTTACATTTTGCAGAGATTTCAGTGAGGTTTGTAGGTGCTGCAAATTACCAAAAAAATGCAGATTTTTTCTTTGGGAACATCCTGCCTATGGAAGTGTCCCACTGGCTGTGATCTGTCTAGCCTAAGCTATGGGCAGACAGGTCCTGAAACAAAAATAAGGTGTATTGTTTGGATCAAGTAGCCATTGAATAAGGTTTCCATTTCCCTCCAGCCAGACAGTAAATGCCAGCTGCCCATGTGCTCACTAGCATCAGTTACTGAGATTTTCCTCCTCCCTAAACTCAGAGCTTTGCTGTTGGGGTGTACAGGTGGAAGGAAGGTTGTTCACAATGGAAAGCAGCACAGTGCAGGGGGGGTGCCAGTTAAGCTTCCAGAGGCAAAGGCGTTTTTTTTTTTTCAGTTCTTCCCCTTGTGTGGAGCAGAGCAGCCCTATGGTAACAAACCCCACAGCCTCCTCCCAAAGCTCCCAGGCCAGATCAGCCATTTGGGCTGTTGAGGAAAGCCTGGCACCCCCGAGGCAGAACTCATCGTGCTCAAGAGCTGAATCCATGCTGAAACGAGGTGGGGGTCCATTCACTCCCTGCCCCACCAACACTCCCTGTGACCGGCTCTGCCTGGCCACAAGAAGCTGCCAAGGACAGCGTGTCCTCAGCTGCACGATCACATCTGGATATCAAGGCAGGCCCTGAGAAAACACTTTTTGGGGGGAACCTGGGCCACGTCTTTGTGCAAAACAGAGCTGGTTCTGCTCTTCAGCCCAGCTGTGAACTCTCCTTTCCTCCCGTCATGCAAATCCCAGCGCATGCTGGGCTTTCTCTGGATTTAAAGCGTGTACCTGACAGCAGCATGTGGTCTGTAGTTGTTTAAAAGCATGGGCTCCTTTCTCACCTCCTCTATCAGAACTGGAAAGCTGGAATTAATAGCTCTGGAAGACTATGGTTGATGAAAGCAAACGGTTTGTCATGGTTAAGTGCTTTCACATTTACATGAGAAAGGTCAGCCAGCAGAAAAGATAGGGTGTGATAAAACACAGAAACACATTTTTTAGAAGTGATTAAGTTTGGACATTTTGGATATATTTATGTGAATTTGACATCGTTATCCTGCAGGGTCAGGAAAAGTGGAGCGATTGTCAGAATTGACTAAAATGAAGAGCAACCTCTTAAGAAAGTACGTGCGTCAGACAGACATTAACAAGTATATTTGCAAGAATCTCTCTATTGATTTCTTTTCCACTCATTTTCTTTTTCAGCAGAGGAACACGGCTTTGTATGCATACACGTCAGTTCTCTTCATTTTGTTTAGCAATCATAAACCCGATCTTTAAGCAAGAAAGGGCTAGGTTCAACTGGATCAGCAGCAGTGTCCCATGTCAGAATATTCCCACTCACTGATACCAGCACTTTCAGCATTTTTGTCACGGTTGCATTGCACACGCGTTCGTAAAACTCTTTTTTGGCATCTAGCACCCTGACCCTGCATGCCTCGGGCTCAGTGCAAAGTCTGGGATGACTCCTCCAACAAAGTGCTTGCATTAAGTGCAGTCAGAAATTGAGCAGGGTGGGCCCGTCTTCTGCTGCCAGAGCTTTCTCCCTCGCAGCCTCCCTTCTTAGGAGAAATGCTGTAAGTTCATCAAGGCTTGATTCTCATTAACACTTAATAACGCTGCTTCCAGACCTTCATGAAACATTCATCAAGCTCACAGAATTCAGAAGACTGGCTTAAAAAATGTATGAGATTTTTATGATATTAAGAAAATTATGCATGTGAGGATCTCTCAGTTAAACTCCAGGGTTTTTAAGTCTGTTTTTTTCTTTTTTTTCATGGCTCGGATTTTCAGTCTGGGTATGCCTGAGCAGGCTCGATGCTGTAGCTAAGTGGGTTAAAAAGTTTCTTTTTCTCAGTGATATTCTTACCAAACAAAAAGAAAAAAAGAAAAAGAAAAAAAAAAAGAGAGAAAGAAAAAAAAAGAAAAAAAAAAGAAAAAAATAATTGAAAAAAATAATTTTAAAAATTGAATCCAGAAACTAGGGCCTGAAAAAAGCCACCAGGTAGCATGAGACAAGTGATAAAGCTGCAAGAACTAGGAAGGTGCTGCTGCAGTGCCTCAGAGTAAACCCAGGGGAACCGCAGTTACAACAAGGGGCACAGCACTGGCAAGCAAAAACATTAAATATTTGATTTCTGATGTTAGCGCCACTGAAACGATCACGGAAAACAACAATACCTTGAGACTGAGCTACGCTATCAAGCAGACCGCAGTATGATGGGAAAGCATTTACAAAAAGAAGCCAAACTTTTATACACCGTGGAGGTGTTTTCTTTTTTTCCAGATGGGACGCTGACTTTAGAATCGTCTCGCAAGGAGATAAAAGGGCAATCACACCGAGTAGCAACCTAATCCCCTGGTGCACGAGAGTTGCCTCTTACAGTGTGCTTTATAGCTATGGCCAGAAGGGCACCATGAGCTGTATTTTAGACTCATAGCCCGTAAAGTTATCTGGGATCATATTGTGCAGGACTGACCAAGGCAATCCTGATGCCCCATCCCTGGAGGTGCTCAAGGCCAGGCTGGATGGGGCTTTGGGCAGCCTGGGCTGGTGGGAGGTGTCCCTGCCCATGGCAGGGGGCTGGGACTGGATGGTCCATGCAGCCCGCTGTGGTAACTTCTTGCATATTGCCCGGCATCACAGATACCCAAACGGTTGTAAGATGAAGCCGCAATCAGAAGGAAAACCAGGTCTATAACTTTTACCCTACTTGGAAACTATTGCTTGGACAAACAGGAAAACCCCAAACTGAAAAACAGAATCCCGTTTCTCCCTTCTGGCACATCTATCATCCTCTGAGCTCGAGATGCCAAGAATTTCTGCCTGTACCCCTCCAGAAAGCACACAGCATTAGGGTGGAATTCTGCAGCCCGCAGCCTCAGGCAGCAGCATTTGTAGGACGCCTACCGAGGTCACAAGGATGGGTGTGTGAGGAGGAGGTGCACAATCAGGTAGGCATCTGCTGTGGCTGAACATGAGAAGGTGTTAAAAGCCTGCAGGAAATGGTTATTTTCTGAGGAAACTGTACAAACTTATCTTTTCTTCCCTACCACTTACTCAAGTCACAGGAGGATGAACGATCTGTACATAAAAGCAGATGAATTATTGCTGGACTTACTAATGGCATTGGCTTTGGGCAGAAGGCCTTGAGACTCTATAGTGGGTTTATTGCTCTGTTGATCTTACAACTGATGGTTCTAAATAATAACTTCAATTAATATTAAAACCAGGTATTACTGCAGACAACTAATTTCTTATAACTGCAGACGACTCTTCATTGATGGGCTTACTCAAAATACAGTTTCCATTCAACAAAGTTCTCTCAATTCATATACTATATTTCTAGGTCCCTGCAGCCGATATTGGTAATATTCAAACGTATAAAAGTCATTTAAAGGGGAAAATAAATGTCACATCTTTCAGTAACCCATATATACCACGGGTGAATTTTGCAGTGTCTACATCATTGAAGAAGCCTAAACCAGAACAAGACCTTTGCTTATACTTTTGCTGAAATATATCTACTTGCAGAGACAAGATTTAATTAACCAGACTAGTGGAAAATAGTGAAAGACGATATTCCTTTGCTATGTCTGTATTTGCATTTTGGCAGGCTTTTATTTAAGAAAGTTTTAGCACCCCATGCTATGGAACAGTTAAGATCTGAAATTCTGGGGACAGAAAAAAACAGTTTTCAAAAGCTTAGTAGAAGCTTGCTGGGGTCGTGCAGGGGGCCTCATCATGCACCCATATAGGGCCAGAATGGGGCCAGTGGTTGTGGCTGCAGTCCACAGGAACAATGCCTGAAGCACAGCATCCCTCATCTCTGGCATGCTTGGAGAAAAGCAGGGCATGGTGGTCTTGACGTGGCCACTCACGCTTCATGTCTTCTCCTGAACTCAATAATTTTGTGCCTCAATTTCCCTTTTCTTCTGCAGAGACACTATTTCACCTCACAGGGACCTTCTAGAAATAAATTACCTCACTGCAGTGAGTGGCAAGCGCCCCAAGTAATGAGCATGTTAAAAAAAAGCCCAAGAGGAAATGAGTAATCCCACCTCCAGAGCACATTCTGGGCCCAGTGCAGTAAATAAGGCCTGGGGGCACATATCCAACAATGAGGTTAAGTAAAATATCCAACAGCTGCTCATTAAGAGCAACATAAAGCAAGGGAGCCTCTCCACCCCCAGTACATGATCATCTACCGTGGTGATTAGGGGCTTTATCCTTATGGATACATGCACGGGGCAGAATTCAGAGGCAGAAATTCAAAGTAGAAACCTTGTTTCTGCCATTTTCTAGCTTTGGGGGGATTTCTTATAAATCTCAAGGTTATCTATGTAGGTTTGTGTGGCTGGGGGGGAAGTACTCACCTATTCTGCTGTCACAGCATTCAAGGGGCAATGGATAAAGACTTTGATATAGATGTGGGGAGCTCCAGAATGGATATGTACTCAACTTTAACAGTGAAGTAACTCAGAGCCACACCACACGGGTGTAATGACTCACTGAGAATGAGTTGCCTCCTTCCTATACTGAACAAGTCATCTCTAAAGCAGCCCAGCACAACTCTCCAGATAACCACAGACAGGACTGTGCACTTCACTGCCATGTGCATGAGGTGTGAGCAATTCCAAGGCTGTGAAGGAGGCATTGCAATTACAACATCAGTGTATCACCCTGCAGGAGAAACAAGAGCCTTGAATGGTACCCGTTACCTGTTCAGCCAACAGCGAGGCCAGGCTTGAGTAAGCATCTGCGAATTCTGGGCCGTATTTGATGGAGTCCTTCAGTAACATTACAGCCTCCTCCTTCTTCCCTTGGGACCTGCAAACCGGAGAGGAAGGGGAAAAAAGAAATTAAAGTTGTTTAGCAGCATGTTTAGGTCACACACTAATCAGGTACTTTAAAGAGATGTAAAAAACTCCATCTTGTTCTTTTCAACTAAACTAAATTCACTCGTGCCTCCTCTCCCCAGTGCACGTACCCAGCACCTCTCCAGTGCACGTACCCAGATCCATACTGAACCTCTTTGCCTCTCCCTGTGAAAGGGGGTCAGCACTCTGATCACCAAGTACATGCTAAATTTTGCTTGCTTGCTCTTTCCCCATAGAGGATGTTGATGCCTCTGGTGCACAGGGTCACTGCACTGATTACCTGTTTTTTTATTTGAATGGCAGGCGTGCAAAGGACGTGCAAAGGCACTGCCTCTCTCCAGCTCTGGTGCTCACAAGCAGAGCACGCTGTTTTAAACTAATCTGGGCTCTTTGTCCCATCCCTGCTGTAAAAACACCTCTCCCCTCCCAAAGGAGGAGAGACTGAAATTGGCTACGTCTGTAAGGAGCCAGGAAGAAGCAAGTGGGTCACTCACTGGGGAAAGAAGACACACAAGTGTTGAAATCACGTCGGTAGAAATGAAGGAACTCATCCTACCTCATGCCAGGGCGAGAAATGTGCTCACCAGGGCAACTCATTTCTTTGCATATTCCGAGACTTTTTGCTCTTCGCATCACGATTTCATTATGCTCCTCTCAGGAGCTGGGAGCAGATAGGTTTTAATGAACCTGCTGTTTGGTCTGCTGTTCTGATGAGTGCTCACACTGAGCATTACGCAATGAACCCAGCAAAGACAAAACACCCCCAAAATACTGAATTCCTCAGTCGTACACGCTGAAGAGCAAAACATATTTTGCTCTATCAGGCAATCAGCGCGGGCCACAAGCTCTGTCTGTTAAGTGATAACTGTTAGATTTTGTAAACTTTTCCAGTCCTACTGTAAATCTACTCTCAGTATGTCTCTTCATTGAAAATAAATCAATAAATCAAGTTGAGAGATGGCTAGGCTAATGAGATAGACTTTTTTTTCCAGCATTGCTCTGCACTTACTGCCTTGGAAAAAGGAAAAAGTTTTCCTGAACAAAATTCTGTGTTTATTTATTTGAGCTACAATTTCACCAGCATTGCTCTGTATTCCTTTCCTTGGAAAAATTAGAAGGTTTCCTGAGCAAACATCTAACGATGCTTAGTTGGACTGGAACAACATTTTCTTTGTGCTGGGTGTACAACGAGTATGAATAGCGGGGCTTACAAAAAGAAACAAAGGGCTGTGGAACACAGAAAGTATGTGAACACCTTGCTGCTTTGGCCTTAGATTTCATCTGAGTGACAGGGTCAAGTAACCAGATCTTGTTTATAAGGTGCAAATTTCAGCTGATAATATATGTGGCTTTGCAGATTTTTTCCCTTTCTAGTTATATAACTCAAAGAATATTTTGCCTGTCCATTACGCTAAGTAAAAACAGTTGTGCTAGTCTTTTTCTTCTTCCAGTGGTGCTCCATATGAATTACACGAATGAAGCAAAAACAAATAAAGAACCACTTTTCCCCTACACTAATTAATGACTAGCTGGCTTGTCAATTTATAAAACTTTTGGATTCCTTGGCTGGAGTTTCATGACACATTTTTATAAATCAAAAACAGATGACTGCTTTATAAAGGTATTGATGTTGGGCAAAAAAATGTAGGAAATGCCAGCTACAGAAATAAAAGGATTAAGTGATCCGCTCAGCAGTAGTAAAAGTTCCCATTAACCACAAACATGCGCTAGGAACATGGGGCAGTCCTCTTAATTGCTCTTTTTTTTTTTTTTTTTTTTTTCTAAATGGCCTTTTTTTCGTTTGATCCAAGAACAATGTTTGTCTCCTGAAAGTGGGGGTAGAGAGAGAAAGATTATGGCATCTTTTTATGTGACAGACTGAATTATATTATAAAAAGCAGATCCAATGGTTTCTCAGAGGGCTCAGTCCTGCAAGATACTGACTGCTCTGGCCAAGCACTTAAACACGTACTTAACTTTTATGTATGCAAGTTGAAAATTAATTACTGGCTGAAGTGCTTTTCTGGACCAAGGCCAACATATTCAGCACTTTGCAGGATCGAGGCCGTAGCTTATATAAATCTCATGCAATTTGGGAGAACACCGAGAGTTGGGAGAGCAGTCTGATACACTAATTTACCACAAACCGGGGATCTGCAGCAAGAAAAACTAGGTAATATATACCTTCAACATGACAGAGAGAGGAACAAATTCAACTGACACAAGGAGTCTATGATCACTTAATCCAATTTTTCCCCAAATTACCTTGCCTTACAATGCCCTCTTCTGATTCCCTCTTCCACTCGAGCCTCCAGCCTGCCCTCCACAATCAGCATGGTTGAGCCAAATGCTTTCCACCTGGAGCATCCCTTGCATATTGCTGCAAGTGCCCTGCAGTTTGAGAAGCATCAGCCTAAACTATCCTAAACTATCCTGCAGAAGCCTGCTCATCCATGGGGCTGCGAGTGGGCTATTTGGCACTGGAGCAAATTTCATTCACAAGAGAAGCAGTAACCCAGGAATTACTGCTCTAGAGGACTTTTTCGTTTTCAAGATTTGTTTTGTAATGCGAAGTTAGTTTGACTGCATTAGAGTCAGAAACACAGAACTCAGTAAGGGCTCCACAACTGTTCTGAACAACTTGTCTTGGTTTTACATGATAATCCATGGGGAGCTTGCAGCGTGTGACCACCTGAATGAAAAGAAATCTCTAAGCACATTCCACTCCCTGGGTTTAAACAAATTCAGGCAATTTAGATGCTCTCCTTTGGTTTTTATCTGTACTATGTGGATGACACCGAAGTGGAGTGTCCTCCACACCCCAGCAATGCACTATAAGGTAAGGTTGCTTTTCAGATGGGAAGGTTTGACAGGAAGATCATGAAGTTTGGCGAAAACAAATTCATGTCCTGCACCCAGAGTGGGATAACCGCGTGGACCAGCACAGGTTGGGGGACAACGGGCTGGACAGCAGCTCTGAGGAAAAGGCCCTGGGGGTCCTGGTAGACAACACTTTGAGCACAGTGTAGAAGGCCAACAGCGTCCCGAGTCACTGGGTCCAGGGCAGTGATCCTTCCCTTTTATACGATATTTGTGAGACTACACCTAGAGCAATGTCCAGTGTTGGGATCCTCAGTGCAAGAAAGGCATGGACACACTGGACAAAGCCAACGGGGAGCTGCTAAGGAGGTCTGGGCTGGAGCACATGTTGCATGAGGAGGGGCTGAATGAGCCACAGTGTGCGGCCTAGAGAAGAGAAGGCTCGGGGTGACTTCACTGCTGCCTGAAACTACCTGGGGCCAGAGGATACAGAGAAACCAGAGCCAGACTCTTCTCATAGGTGCACAGCAACAGGATGAGAGACAATGGACACAAGCAGGAACATGGAAACTCTGACTACATACAAGGAGAAATGTTTTTCACCGTGAGAGCGATAAAACATTGGAGCAGGTCACCCAGAGAGATTGTGGCATCCCTGACCTTGGAGGTGTTCAAGATGCAGCTGGACACAGCCCTGAGCAAGGGGATTCAATTTGACCTGCTTTGAGCTGCGAGCTTGACTAAGTGATCTCCAGAGGTTCATTCCAACCTAAGCTACTCTTTGAATCTATTGTAAACTTGACACTGCCAGAGCTTTTTGGTTCTGTTTGCTTATTTTTAAATGGGCTAGAATGTGCATGTGATGCTGATGTACAGCTTCAGCACTTCATACAACACCAAGCATTTTGACCCAGAGACAATCCAGAAAGCCAGACGCAGCTTCACTGAATGTTATTGCTCAGTCTGCTGCTTGGAATGGAAGGGAGGAATGTTTCACTTTCTGAAAGATCTTAAATCTCAGTACACATAGTATCTATCTGATGTTTTCCAGTGTCTTCAGACAATTATATAAGCCCATGTTAGCACGTTATATATCCAAAAACCTGTATGAGAGAGGGTAGACAATCCTCCTTTCTCTGACTAGATGGGTTTGTAAAACTTGGACTAAATCAGGGCAACAAATGCACAGGACACCTTGGGTTACTCTACATTCCAAAGAGAAGCAGTCCTTTGAATAAATTCAAGATCTCAGGGGACATTGTTTCTAGGCACTTCACTTTCTCCTTGAAAATGCAGCCATAACCCTCTCAAAACACGTAAGAGTTATGAGGCTTTTCCTCATAAGAAATGCTGCACTGAATATTAGAGCATAGAGAGAGAGAATACAGTAAAGAGTAAGCTCTCTCCCATTCTGCAAAAGAAACCTGAGATCCTAAATATTTACTTCAAATGTTCATAATATTTTATTTCTTGTCTCTTTACAGAATAGCCCAGGGGCTATAAATTTATGTGAGGTATTCTCAATGATACATATTTATCTCAGTTTTTCAAGCTGTAACTCAACAAAACTGAATCTATATAGAGGAGTTAAATATTTATATAACAGGAAATACCAAAACAAAATGAAAGAGAGAAGTATCAAGGTAGGCTGCTTGGGACCGTGAAAGCAGAGAATGAGATTTCTAGGCAGGTCATCTTCTGGGGCTATTTTAACTAATAAATTCATCTGCACTGTTTAATTATCTACTGCCCAATATTTATAGTAGGCAAGAAAATGATGACATACAACTTTATTTTAGAATAAGTAAACAAAACCAGAGGCTTATTCAGACTTTATCCTGCAATGGTTCCTGAGAACATTCATCTTCTGGCACATAGCTGTCTTCATCGTGTGCAAACAGAAAATGGAATCTCTCTTTTTCATCTAGGGGATCCACAGAAAAAAAACAACACATAATAACAACCCAAAATTTCCACTCTGTTGTCCAAAACAATTTTCTAGTCAAGCTTAAATCACACCATGTTTGAATAGCCATCTTATAGCCAGGGAGTAATGAGCAGCAGATACCCACATGGGAACAGCAATCCCATCCTTCCAAAACCCCAGAGTTTCCCTTTCAGCACTCCAGAAGTAAAATCTAGTATCTGCAATCGGATTTCCACACTATGAGCAGGGGTGAGTGTACAGAACTTGGCAGAATCTGAGACAAAATTCTGTGCCAGGCCATTTTGTTCTGTGTCCCAGTACAAGTAATGCTGTTACTGGACATGCCTTGGGTGCTGCAGATGCGGCTCTTCCTGATCTGTATACTCTCGAAGCCTCTGTAAAGAGGACAGAAAATACTTTCATCTCTTGACCTTTTATCCTTTCTCTGCCCTAAGCTTAAAAATCAAAACACCCTTCATAATGTCTCATAGCACAGCCGGAAATTAGTATCTGCCTGCAATATTCTGCAGATTTTCATTCATTACCTAGATTATACTAGCATTTAGCATCTGCAGAATACTGCTTGCCCTATATACACAGCACAGAACTGGTCTCTCTTTCCAATAAATCACAGTCTCCTATATGGCTGAATAAAAGGATAATTTGGTAGAAAATGCACACAAAATCAAAATTATAGGAATGGGGACCTTGAAATGTCTGCCTCTTTCTCATGTGGTCATCTTACATGTCACACCTCATGCTCTCTGCAAATTTGATGCATGATCCAGGAAGGTGCTAGCAAGGGGGTTTGAGCTACTGCTTTAGGGGAGACATTTATGCAAGACCTGCTCACACAGCATCTGCTTTCCACACGTGCTATTCCCTCCACCACGAACTCTACCTGTTTTTGAGCAGCTTTTTTTAAAGCTGAACAGGGAGATAAGAATACCATTTCTATTATAATTAATACTCTGTGTGTGCCCAGGTGCAATAGATTGCTTAGGAAACCTAAAATAAGTTCACAAAATAGGAGTAAGTGGGTGTGGGGAAAGGGGAGAATGGAACCTGGGCACTTTCTTTTAAAGAGTTTACCAGAAGTATCATACACCTTTAACTTATCACAATATGTGGTACCACAGGAGGATGAAGAACACACAGAATTTGATGGGACACACAACGACTTAAAAATCTCTTTAGGAAAAACATGACATATTGCACACAAAACAAAACAAACAGCAGTTCTAAGAGAATTTCCCACATGCCTCCTTTGTGCTTTGCCAATGCAACAAGTCCAGTTTCTACCCATATGCTGGGTCATACGAGCCCATCAACTTGCCAGATTAAAGCATTATTGACACAGAGTGTCCTGATGCTGTTTCAGGCTTATGTCCTTTTGTATTAACATTTCATATTAAAAAAAAAAAAATCAAAGAATAGTAATTAAGACAAATGTGATGGATTAAAAGGATTATAAATATATATATTTAAACAGCATTGCCACCAAAGATTAATTTCAATCAACCAAATCTCATGAATAATACAAAGACTTTTGATTTCTTTTGTAATAAGGCTGTCTTTACCTTTCTTGTATTTCGAGTAAAGCACTAACTTACCTTTCTACACATCTGCCATATTCTAACCCCAAACCATCAGGTTTACTTGTAATATTACTCTGGCAACTTCTCTGTTACTGAATGAACCAGGCAGAACTTCAGCAACCTGCTTAATTTCCTTCACATAAACTCACACTTGAAGTGACATTTAAGAACCAGACAGATCAAGTGTGTTTTGATGAGACAGTGCCACTTTATAACCAGCCCAACACTAAAGCCCAATCTGCTCTGAAGGATTTACCAGAGACCTGTTACCAGCAATATCCCACTACAAAATAGGTGCAGTTTATATCAGCAGAAGTGGCTTTTTACTGCTGTTGTTTATTCAGTTCTGCTAAAAAAAAAGAAGAAAAAAAAATGGAAAGGGAAAGGAAAAGAAGAGGGGAAAAAGAGAAAAAAGTGAGAAAAGAAAAAAAAAAAGGAAAGAGGAAGGGAAGGAAGGAACCCAACTAATGTTATCTTGACAAAAACATGGGTATTTTTTGCTGGTGAAAAAAAGCAAGGGTATGAATAGAGACTTTTGTTTGTTTGCTTTAATTGCACCTCTGACAGATCTTAACATAGCGGCAAAGCTTCTCTTGTAGATTGAAGTTCAGCCTTTAGATATGGTTAGTCAAATTAATTTGCATGATTATGATTGCTATTCTCCTTGCTAAAAGCTAATGCTCTAAATAACAATGAATCAAATTAGGAACTGATCAACTTGTCTTCTAGCTCAGTAAAGTAACCACGTAGGGATGTAAACCAGCTTTCCCCTCAAATCCAGGCCCACTCCACCCCCTGGAATGGGATGAACCTTCTGCCCTTTTGAGCATCTCGAGAGTTATGTATTTATGCCTAAACTACACATCTGACCTTCCAGATACAGCTAATGAGGAGAAGTGGGAACTTGCAGGGAGGGATTTGCTGGATATGTGTTATTCATTAGATCTGTATCAAATGCCTGTCTTTGAGCAACATGGCTTGCTCCACTGGCAAGGTTCACATCTCTCCATTGAGATGGAAATCCCAGGTGACTGGTTTGGATTTGGACACCTCATTTTTTGATGCCTAATTTGGAACAAGTGGATGCCCTCCAGCTGAAGCATCGTTGTAAACAGCACCTGAACTGACCTGGCAGACAGCATAAGGATATCCAGACTAAGCTTTGTCTCTGTGCCAGCAGCCTTGGCTGCCGGTAAGAAATAGCACCATTCCTTCACCAGTTGGCAGAAAACCTACTATGGTGACGTGCATATGGAGATACCTGGATTTCCTTGGCCCCAGTTCTGCATTCAACTTACTTGAGCAGGTTGCCGAGATTGAAGAGAGCTCGATTGTGCTGCGGGTTTAACTGAAGGGCCCGTCTGTAGTAGTCCTTTGCCTCCAAAACATCTTTGGTCAACGTCCCCAAGTTGTTGAGAGCACTTGCATGACGAGGGTACAGTCTGGGAAAAAGGAAATAATGAATTATGCACACTCATTGACTGACACACATAAAGCTCAGATCACTAGCTCCACCATCACTGCTCTGTGGCACTCCGTACTGGGAAGGATGTCAGCTGGAAAATGCCATCTTCCCTTAATTTGCTGCAGGTCCTGATGGGATCATGAGGAACCTTCTCAACTCCCAAAGAGACTGTAAATCAGATCTTCTCCTACAGTTTCTTTATGCTTCCAGGGCAGAAGAGAACACTCAACAGCTTTGAAAACTTATTTTAACCTCCAATTAAGAGGCAGAATGAGTAGAGCAGCCTGAACATTTTTATTCAAAATGCTTATTGAATAAGTAAGAACTACTTAGTCAAAAATATGTTTCCAATATAAATTTGTTTTGACATATACAGAAACCAACACCACACTGCTTAATTGTGTGTTTTTAATCTGTTTCCCACAACAGAAGTGATAATAAAAAAGGGCAAAGTGAAACTTGTATTCAGCTGTTGAATAATGTTTTCAGGACCAAGAAAAATGATCAAAAAATCTGGAAACAGACTGCTTAACAATATGAATTTCCTGAGTTTCTGTATTTTTTTAACACCCAGTTCTCCTTTCAACTGATCAAAACAGAAATTTAAATCTACCCATTTCAATTTAACATTACACATTGGGCCCAGCGTATCTCTGCTAAAATCCTCCATGAATTAAGAAGCACTTTATGGTCCACTCAGCTGCTTCTATGCTCAGGCAAAGTCATGCTCCTGCATTAATGGTTTGGTCTGTAGTTTTTTCACCAGAAAACTCCAGTGGTGAAAATGATCCAGGGAGAGATTTAGCACCCGGGACCCTCTGCATAACAGATGGGTGAAACTTGAGGTTCATTCTGATAATGAAACAAATACAAAAGGGTAGCCCACAGAGGGGGGAGACCAGCTGTGCGAGAAGTGTCCAGAGTCCCCTCCGATGCTCTGGTATGAAATGCTGTACAGGTGCCTGCCCACTCAATTCCTCCAATGGACATTTTATTCGTGATAGGGAAGAAGTGAGGTAAGAGGGTCAAGGCTTCTGCTTGAGAAGACCCGGTCCCAAATCCTTCTGCCACTGCATGATTTCTATTTCAGACCAGGACAAGTCATTTAGCAATTCTCTGTCTTGGGTCCCTGTTTGTAAAGTGTGGATAATAGCTTTGTAATTCATGGGAGAGAGATGTGGATAATGACATTAAAAGTGGTTGGCTATGATAGCCCAGGGTATGGCATGAGGAGGGGCATTTAAAGGAAGAAGAGACTAAGACTATAATGCAGTCTAACTCTAAACTTCGAGGCTGTTTCTAATCTAAGAATTTCCGTGTTTTTTGTGTGTGTGTTGTTTTTTTTCCTGGAGTTTTTCATTATGTCAGTTCAGCCGTGGGATTTTCTGTACTTAAGTACCGTGAATAATTTAGCATTTTATACACTGCTGCAACACTTGTATCAGTCACATTTTCATTCCACGGCACATAAGTGATCCTGGCAGGGTCTTATTTGGGGGCGCAGCCAGGAACACACGAGGGAACTCCAGGAGAAGAGGACGTGCGCCAGTAACAAACGCGGGATATTTCCTACAACTAAGCAAGAAGAAAGTTTTCCACCCAACACTAAATCTAGCAGGCAAGGATTGCAAAACCACATACGAGAGGAGAGAAAGCACTCAAAGATGCCATCATATATATATATTTTTAGAACGTAGCCTATTATACTGACGACGGATAAATATAATGAGCACCACTCACTAACTGCTACAGGCTCTGCCAACATCCCTCACGTCCAGATAAGCACCCTGTCTCTCAGAGGTAACCACTTCTGCTGCTGCTAACCCCTAGATGCATCTTACACGTACTAGCCACTGCCTTGAGTGTCTGCATTGTCCAGCGACACCACCGTTCACTACACTACCTGCATTCACTGCTCAAGTGATTTCTGAAGAGATCCTTCATTGATCTTGTTACAGAGGAGTAAGAAATCCAAGGCTAGACTGCAGTTGCCACAGAAATAGCATCGCTTTCTACCAGTGAAGCTACACAGAGCGTCTGAAGCACTTCTGGATGTGAAAAGCTTCCTGCACTTGGAGAAGGGTCAGTGAAAGACAAGGCGATGAGGGTAGGGTTTGAGTCTTACCCTGGCCCTAAAATCCACTGGCCAGCTAGGCTAAGCCTCCCCAGCTGAAGCAGGCTGGGGAAACCTTCCTCAGGACCAGCAGGGAAGCAATGGAAAGGCCCAAGCTTGCTTGCTCCTCGCTATGTGGGACACAGCTCTGTGTGACACCTTGACCAGGATCTTAAGTGAAGCATGTCCTATCTACCTTCAGGCAAGTAACCAAGGGCTCAGACTTGTTTCCCATTTCTTCCACAGGCTTTTGACATTATTTTCATATAGAAAGATTTGGGAGTCATAATTTTTGAGCCTTTTTCTCCATTTGGCTATGATAAAAGCTGAGCATCACTTCTGTCAGTACTCGCGTATAAAAAAAGCTCTAATATCTGACATGAAGTCGCTTGATGTATGAGTGGGCAGAAGTATTTCAGACAATTCTTGGGAAAGTCAGAAACAGATTAATATTTTACAGCCCTAAACCTGATGCGTTTGCTCACAAACTTTCAGAAATTTATTCTGCTCTTGGCCTCTAGTGCTCCCATGACATTTTAGGCCCAGGAGATTTGCTTGCACCGATTTGGAGAGGAATGAAAATTCAAAATTAAAAAAAAAAAAAAAAAGCACTGATTTCACCTTTAAGCTGCACAGTTCTGACCAGCAGCTCCATAAATACACTTCTGAGCTCAGCGCTAAAACCTCTCGACAGCACATCACAGCATGCAAACCCATCTCCCCTGGATCCTGGGCTCTATTTCTTGTGTTTTACATTTATTCCTTACATCTCATTGCCCTTTCCAAGGAATATAAGTGAAAAAAAACAGAACCTCAACTGGCATAAATTGTCAGCTTAAACCAGCTTAGCATCTGGCCTGCAGAAGTTACAACATTGACAATTTTACATATCCGAACAAATGTGAAGAGAAAAATAGCATCGCGCAGCGAGATAAGGCAGTGGTGCTGGGCTTTTCCGCTGGGGTTCAGTTTTTAAAGTTTTTATTGGAAAATTACTTCATTATGGCAGTAGAGCAAGACGCCACTCAAGTGAGCTCAGCAGAGAGCACAACCATGCCCTAGGACAGCATCACCCCCAGTAAATTAAGCAGAGCCAGCGCCTGGGCCCATCACCATGCACGCTGTTTATTGCTGCCACGATCCCTACCAGGTTGACACCACCCTCAAACTGTTCCCAGGAGTGGCCAGGGCTGAGCCCAGGCCAGGGTCTGGTCCCAAAAGCCAGCTTGGCCTCAGCCCCCGCCTCTCAGATGCTTGCAGGCCGATTTATGCCAGTTGGCCCCAAGGCTGGAGACTGGGGCCCAGACCCTTTTTATTTATTAATATGGACATCGACTACAGGACTAATGGCCTTACTCAGGCTGCCCTCCGTTCACACACACCCACCGCTGCTATCAGTAGCTTCCTGGGGATAAAAAGAGAGTAGAACAAAGTCTTGTGGCTGGATTTACAGAACATCATAAAACTTGACCACAGGTGACTAATTAAAGCAACGTGTACTAAAGAAAATGTTTCTGCAGAATTTGCAGATATACCGTTTGCAAAGCGTTTTGCTTTTTGCTCTATCTGAGCTATTTTTTTAATGAATGGAAGCACGTGTACTTTTTTTTTGCTGTTCACTTTTATGCTCTTGGGAGGGTTGTGCTGTTTTCTGAGACTTCCAAAATTGGCCCCAATGCTTCCTGATGTCTACCCTGACTGCAAGTTCTCCGATGCACACACTGTCTGTTCCCCATGCATATTTATTTCTCGGAAGACTCAGAAACACCTTACCATGACAAGGAGGTCTCAAGTTAACCTGGAGTCTCTTTCATGCCACAACGACAACAATACGCAGAGCCCAGACTTTGTTTTACAAATAGCTGGGACACTCGGAGTTGCAAAGAATCAGTTATTATAATGTATATGTTGTTTTATGACTTCTCTTAAGAAACAAAGCTTTTTGTCTGGACACACACAGAGCTGTGTTTTCCTTGCCACCACCATTGATAATGGTAACAGTCTGCAGGCAATATCCTTCTTGCTATGCATCTGATTAAGAAGAAATTCCTTTAGGCTTCACCTAATCAAATGCAAGTGCTGCATTATTTATGAAAGAAAGCTGAATTTCATTAAACTTATTCCACAAGAAGCAGTTCATGTAAAAAAAAAAATCAATTTCTCATTTCTTTCAGAAATCAGAATAATTTTCCTCCAAAACCTACATTCACAGGTAATTATTATAGAAGTCTCGAAACAGCAGAATTACATAAAAATGAAAAAAAAATAGAAAAAAATAAACCAAGGCTATATATTTTAAAGTGTATTTTAAATCAGACTGGGATTTCATTTCTAAAGAGAAGACAAGTGGGATGTTTCCTTGTTGCAGAATGAATAATTCAAATGATTCCTCCAGTGCCGTATCTGCAATTGTCAGAATAAATTTAAACAGCTTTCCCTTTAACTATTACAGGTATACACTGCACAAGAACTCCTGTTAATAATTATCCCCACTTCTTTCAGGCTAGTAAAATTCCCTCTAATACCATTGAACAAAAGCCTTATTGACTTGCACAGTCAAGAGATTTTTAGTTTTATAAGACGATACCAGGCATAAAACATCTACAGTCATCATAATGCTGAAGACCACTTATTTTGCTTTTTAATTTAACGCTGTTATTACCTGAAACATTAGTTTATAAAAAAAAATGCATGGTTTTGTTTGGCAACATATTTATACTACAAGCTGATTCCAGAAAAAAAAAAAAGAGAAAGGGAGGGAATTTGTTGTCATGGATACAACCTATAATCCGCCAAGAATTTTAATTCTTTTAATTCAGATGTAGAGAGACCACTTAAACACTTGGCAAGCTCTACTCGCAGTC